TTAAAGACCTAAATAAACATGTATGGTAGAGGGGCGCCTGGGTGGCTCAGTGGGTTATGGCCTCTGCCTTCAGCTCAGGTCATGGTCTCAAGGTCCTGGGATTGAGCCCTGCTTCAGGCTCTGCTCAGCAGGAAGCCTGCTTCCCTCTCTGTCTCTGCCTGCCTCTCTGTCTGCTTGTGATGTCTCTCTCTCTCTATGTCAAATAAATAAAATCTTAAAAAAAAATAAAGTGTAGAGTTTTGGGGGGTGACTGGGTGGCTCAGTCGTTAAGCGTCTGCCTTCAGCTCAGGGCGTGATCCTGAGGTCCTGGATAGAGCCCCTCATCAGGCTCCCTGCTCAGTGGGAAGCCTGCTTCTCCCTCTCCCACTCCCCCTACTTGTGCTCCCTCTCTCCTTGTGTCTCTCTGTGTCAAATAAATAAATAAAATCTTAAGAAAAAAGTGTAGAGTTTTTTAAAGCCAAATTTATACAAAGTTTAATAAATCAAATGGTCATGTATCGAGAATATCAGTTGCTTAACTACCTTTCCTACTTACCCAAGCCAAGGACTCCTAACTTTTGTTAGATAATTCTTTCGGTATTTACCTCCATAACTCTAAATCAGATGGTATATTGATACTTTCTGATTTTGTCCATGTTAGGCATTATGCATTGACTTTCCAATAAGGCAGTCAAAGATTTAGCTCTGTTTACCCAACCCTCCCCTCTACCACACACATGTGCTCACTTCCCATTCCCCCGATCTCCCAATATAGTTACATCATACTTGGTTGTATCAGCTTTCAGTCTTCACATTGTGATGACCAAGTGATTCACACCTGAGTCACTTAAGATAACCATGATTTTCCCTTCTTCTCTCCACAACTTTTTACATTCCACTGGAATTAACACTTGGTCCCTCCCATTTACTTAATTACATTTGTGATACGTTATCACAAGTCCGAGCTATAATTCACCCCAATTGTGTAATCACTTCTCAAGAGTTTCGCACACAATCCTATCAGTGTCATCTACTTGAATAAAACTTTCCTGGAGTTTTTTGACTAGCTTCCCTCTGAACAAGGTGCTTTCCGTTCCTGGCCCGTAGTGGTTCATCTGGGGTTTTCTTTTACTATGATCTTGGTGATTCCAGTTTCCTGCCTCTTGCATTGGAGTCCCCATTTTCTTGGATCTAACAACTTATTCTCTAGGCTTCCTCCCTTGTTTTGGTGGAGCGCATCCTTCAGCAGCTTTCTGAGAGAGAGGATGAGGCACTACCTTTTTTGGGAAACTCTGCATTTCTGAAAATGTTTGATTCTCTTGTCATACTAGTTTTGTTTTGGTCATTTGGGTATGGAATTCTAGGCAGGAAACGATTTTCTTCTGAAGGCATTATTTCCCTGACTTCAGGTTTCCAGGTTGGATAACTCTGATGACATTCCATGCCTGCTTTTTTGGAATGCATTTTATGAAACCTGTTTTTCAATCTCTGGAAACCTCTCGGAGCTCCTTTTTGTCCCAGTTTTCTGAAATTTCATGGTGAAGTGTAATTCAACTCTATACTACCAATAAGTACCGAGAGCATGTGCTGTATGAATGATCCCACCAAAAGCTCCAAAGTACGCAAAGACATACACAAGTCCTTAAGGACCTGGAAATGTATGGGAGTGTGGGAGACAAGGGAAAGTAGGATTTGGTGAGGATGCACTATTACACACATAAGATTTGTAAGAGCTGCCTTTCCACAAATTCTAAGTGTTGGTATTTTTTAAAAGGGACTGATCCAGAATCTTGATCTGATTCATTCATTAGCAATTTAGCCTTCCTACAGACTCAACAAATTCCATGCCTCACCCATCCATAGTCCTGGCTTATCTGCTAGGACGTTGTGACTTCTAGTCCTACTTTTATTGCTGGGAGTAGTTGTTAGCCTCTAGAGGTCAGACTTTGCTGCTGTTCCGCTGAAGGCCAGGAAAGCTTGTGTTCAAGGCCAGAGGGTCCCCTCAAACTCCCAGAGAACCAGTTGGGGTAAACAAGGGACCAGGGCCCCCTTTCAGGAAGCAATCTCTAAAGTGTATTTCTCCTTCCTCTTCAAGATTACCTATACTTAGGACATATATATCGATAGGTAAACAGATGTAACACATAGTAAGCTGCTCAGTAAATGTTTTCTCAATGGATGAACACAGAATGTTTCTCTCTATGTAATATCATCCCAACATTTACATAGCTGTCCATCCCTGGTGGGAATCAGCCAAGCACTACTGTGATGGCTGCCACATTATTACTACTAAAACCAATTTTGCCGATATTTTAAATTCTCATTTTATAGACCTGGAGGATAGAGAGATTAGTAAACTGAATCCAGACCTCACGTTAGATCCTTAGATCTGGCTCACTCTACCACAAAAGGCAACCCCAAATATCACTGGAATGACCAGTGATTAGACCAGTGGTTAGACCAGTGGGATTTGTCACCAAACTCTAGCATTTGTTACCCCATAGCAGCACACGGTAGGGGAGAGGAGGTGTGCTGGGTGGAAGAGAACTCACAGAACCATATTGTTGCTTGTTTTGATGCTAAGTAGCTGTGGGGCTCTGAGCTACAGGCTCCAAATCTCTGGGCCTCAGTTTCCATATATGCAAGATACAGGTAAGAATACATTGTAAAAGGGCACTTGCCTGGCTCAGTCAGTAGAGCATCTGATCTTGATCTTGAGTTCAATCCCACACTGGGTGTAGAGATCACTTTAAAAAAATTAATAAATGAATTTCTTTCTTTCTTTCTTTCTTTCTTTCTTTCTTTCTTTCTCCTCCTCCTCCTCCTTCTTCTTCTGAATACATTGTTAAGAGTTGGAGAGAGGTCTATGATGATCTAGGAATTAAATGCAGTAAGAGGTCTTAGAAGGTCTTTCAAGAGAATAGAGGTTCTGTGTTCCTTGAAGAATGATAGGAAACACTGCTGGAATTTTGAGAATGGGGACTGTTAAATTAGTGTAGAGATTCTTCCTGGGTATGAGTTTTCTCTCCAAACATTCCACAATAATCCAAGACCCCATAATTTCTGCAAAAAAGTGGGTGCCTCCAAACAGTGTTCCCCCTCCTAGGAACCAGTGGCTTTGGCCCCACCAGAGGTGCTCAAACGACCTGCGGACCTTTAAATGTGCAGATGCCAGGGGTCCTCTCTTAATGAACCAGATTTGGGGTGTGGCTGAAGCACTGGGAATGGTGAGTTCCCCATGTGCTTCTAATGTTCAACCCAAGTTGAGAACCGTTGCCCAGGGCTTTAAATTCAACATTCACTTGAAATTTTGAAAAGAAAACAAAGGAAAGCAGTAGCACCCAGTGGCTCTCAAATTTTGATGTGCAAACAGATCACCTGGAGGTTTTCTAAAATGTAACCTCTAATTCGGGAGGTTCAGGGTGGGCTGGGCTTCTGCCTTTGTAACAGGCTCCCAGGGGCATGCCCACACTGCTGTTCCCAGACCGCATGTGAGCAGCTAGGCTATAGCTGGAGTGAATACAGACTTGACTGAGAACTATGGTTCTTCAAGCCAGCTGGGATCTTAAGTAAGAAGTCACTTCACTTTTTGAGGCTTAGTCTTCTGATCTTAAATGCAGGCTGGCCATGGTAACTACATCATAGAGTTCTTGTGATGCTTTAATGACATAATGTAGCAAACATGTTTGGCACGATACAACAAATATTAGCTTTTGGATTCTTAGGATAGCTAACACTCATGGAACGCTTGCGATCCGCCAGGAAATTTTTAAAGCACTTTCATGTCTTGTATCATTCAAGCCTCAAAACAACACTGTGAGGTGTGTACTTATAATTTCATCATCCCTATTTTATGGGTGAAGAAACCAAGGCAGGGAGGTAGAGTATCTTAATTTACATCACACACCTGGGAGTAGTTAAGCTGGTGTTTGAACCCAGAGAGAATCTGGGTCCCGCACCCCCCCACCCCCACCCTCCCGGGCTGAAATGGACACTGGAAAACAGACATTTCTGCCCTGCAGGCCTGGCATTCTGGAGGCGATGACTTGAAGGATTACCCTCTGTCACGGGCTGGGATCAACAGGTGGCAGCCCAGGGCTACTTAAAGAAATACCCAGCAACAAGGCCACCAGCTCTAAAAACTCTCCAAACTCCCGGGTACCCTCCACCCACCGGTGTTTGCCTAGGTGACCAGGGACCGACAGGAAAGAAGAGGCGTACCTCACGGGTTCAAATCTGAGTCCCCCAAGAAAAGACCACTTCGGCAGGCAAAGCAACGAGCGAGCAATACGAGTTTCCTGCAATTCGCATTTACCCGAGGGGCGCAACCAGACCGAGAAATCTGCAAATCTCTTTATACCGAAAGTTCGGCAAGGATCTGGGAGCTCAGCCAATTGGTAAAAAGTCGGGAAGCCCTCCTGGATTGCCCAGAGCACTCTGGAGGAGCCGGGCATCGATGCCCACGCGCAGGGGATGGGGACCCGCGCCGAGGAGACTCCATCTGTGGGATTACCTCGGCAGAACTTCGGGGTTTTTTTCCTGCGGGGGTCCCCTGAGAGAGGCAATGAATCTGAGGGGCAGTGAAGGGGGTGGGGGTTAACCCGGCGGTTTCCATGGCACCCGGGGCGTGGGGGAGGAATGCACCCCGCAAGCTGTGGCGAAACAACTGCGCAGCCTGACCAGCCCGGCTGGAGAAGGCGGGAGGGAAGGGGGGGCAGGAGGGTGGGGGAAGCCCGGCTGGACGGGGGTGGGGCGGTCACGTGCGCCCGAGGGGGCGGGGCCCCAAAGCCACCCCGGAGCGGAAACGTGTCCCACCTAGAGGCTCCGTGCCAGGCGCGAACTTTTCTCCACGACCGAGGGACTGAATCTGGCCTGAACCCCTGGGGTGGACTGCAGGCCCCCGGAGCCAGGACTGGGCTGAGGTGTCTGCGGCCGCCTGGGGGGACAGCGGTAGGTGGCAAGAGACACCAAGGAAAAGTGGGAGCAAAAGCTTGGGGGTGAGTGAAGGGAGCCCGGCTCGCGGTTTTTACCCAGCCTCGGGTATCCGTTTATTCTGGGGTTGGGCCGGGGCAAGTGCCCTGCCAGCTCTAAGGGAGCAGCCGAGGCCACTGTCCCTTGAGACTGCCGGAGTCCTCAGCACCTGTCTCGGGCTCCAGGAGAGGCTGTGGTCATGGTGAATGAAGATCCCAACCAACACGAGCAGGATGGCAGCTCTGCGCAGGAGCCTGCCCTCTGGGCAGACGCCAGTGCCTCGGGCCACGCCAGCGTTTCCGCAGAGCAGAGCGTGTCTGCCCCCCCCCAGCGTCTCCATCCACCCCAGCGTCTCGACCCACCCCAGCAGTTCGGCCCACCCCTGCGTCGCGGCGCACCCAAGCAGTTCGGCCCACCCCAGTACCTTGGCCCAAGCGGGTGGCTTGGCCCACCCCAGTAGCTCAGGCCCTGAGGACCTTAGTGTGATCAAGGTGAGCAAACGCCGCTGGGTGGTGGTCCTGCTGTTCAGCGGCTACTCCATGTGCAACGCCTTCCAGTGGATCCAGTATAGCTCCATCAATAACATCTTCATGAAGTTCTACGGGGTCAGCGCCTTTGCCATCGACTGGCTGTCCATGTGTTACATGCTCACCTACATCCCTCTGCTCCTGCCCGTGGCCTGGCTGCTGGAGAAATTCGGCCTGCGCACCATCGCCCTCACCGGCTCTGCTCTCAACTGCCTGGGGGCCTGGGTGAAGTTGGGGAGCCTGAAGCCACTTCTCTTCCCGGTCACCGTCCTGGGCCAGGTTGTCTGCTCGGTGGCCCAGGTCTTCATCCTGGGCATGCCCTCCCGCATTGCTTCGGTCTGGTTCGGGGCTAACGAGGTGTCAACGGCCTGCTCTGTAGCTGTCTTTGGCAATCAGGTGGGTCGAGCTGTGGGTGGGCCGTTTGGAGGAATGGGCATCATTGTCATGGTGAGGCCCTCTGTGTTAGGTTGCACCTGAGTGTGGGAAGCCTGTAGTTTTCTGACTTCAGCAGTGTTTGTGACTCTGGGTGACTTTGTGGCTGGGTGGGAGGGAGGGATTGTGACTGGATCGCTGTGTAAGAGAAGGGCAGGGGAACAGAAGGAGGAGACCTAGTCTTTGACTGACAGTTCCTCCTCCCCCAGCAGGAAGCATGCTTCTGGAACGTCCTTGGGTTTATGATCCTCCTGACCCCGCAGTCCGCGGCTTAAACCTGGGATTTCAGGAAAGCTATTCTTCCTCAGGGAGCAGCCCGTGGGCATCAGGTTATTCTGGGGTTGTCAGAATTTGATGGGTATTTTTAGCCGGACCCACTGGCTTTCCTAGAGCACAGAATCTCCTGTACTAACGTACAGTCACAGAGTGCTGGCTTGGTGGTGCTTGGCCCTGTGCTGACCGTCTTTTATACACACCTGAAGCCAGGACAGTGGAAACGGTGCTCTGGGACACACTGCTTTCCTGGGGGTTAGAGCCAAGCCTAGCAGGAGGGAATAGAAGTCTCACCCTGAATTTCTAAGGCCTAGAAACCTTTTTGGAAAGGCGTGGAGAGCTCCTATCTCAATCCCTTTTCTTTCCTTCTTTTTGGAAGGAAGATCTCAAATTCTTTGCATCTCAGTGAGGTTATGATCCAAAATGCTGGGCATATTATGACTGCCTTCTCTAAATATTTGAAGCAAGTATTTATAGGGTTCTGCCTCCGGGTCCCACTTCTTCCCAAGCACCTGCCATTGTTTCCATTTTATTTTATTTAACAGATGACCAGTAACCCTTAGTTCTTATAGGATTTTTTCCCTTATAGGAGAGTAAAGCTGGGAGGTGAAGGGCAGGACCTAACCCAGCCTCCCAAGGGTTAAATCTCTGTCTGAGCAGCAGAACAGGATTCATATGAGGTCACTGCAGTCTCAAACCCATTGTTTGGGGAGAGCAGGTTGGCTAAGTGGGAGAAGCCCCTCCCCGGTGGCCAGGCGAGATCAGAGAATTCAAAAATTTTTTTTTTATAAATCATAAAGCATCAACTAATAGATTTTCAGACTCCTCCTCACACACCTGTGAGGGAACTTGACACCAGATAAATCTTTAAAATTTAATAATACTATTTACTCATTCCCCACCCCCCAATCCCCACCAAGGTCAGGAAATGCTAAGAATTTTACTTTTTTTTTTTTTAATATTTTATTTATTTATTGACAGATCACAAGTAGGCAGAGAGGCAGGCAGAGAGAGAGGAGGAAGCAGGCTCCCCACTGAGCAGAGAGCCCGATGCGGGGCTCGATCCCAGGACCCTGGGATCATGACCTGAGCCGAAGGCAGAGGCCTTAACCCACTGAGCCACCCAGGTGCCCCGAATTTTACATTTAAAAAACACTCTGACAGACTATATTTGTAGCACAGAGCCATCTACTCAATTTGATCTTTTCGGCTTAACCCTAAAAAAATGTATGAAAAACTGAGTTGTTTGTGCTTCCTCCCCTAGGGATGACGATCTGTGTTTGGTGCTTGGCATGTGGTTTTTTTTTTTTTTTTTTAAGATTTTATTTATTTGACAGAGAGAGATCACAAGTAGGCAGAGAGGGAAGCAGAGAGAGAGAGAGAGGAGGAAGCAGGCTCCCTGCTGAGCAGGGAGCCTGATGCGGGACTCGATCCCAGAACTGTGAGACCATGACCTGAGCTGAAGGCAGAGGCTTAACCCACTGAGCCACCCAGGCGCCCTGCATGTGTTTTATTTAACCTTTCTTTCTGAGGAAAGCAGGGCTGAATGGAGTACTAGAGTGGTAGGTAGTGAGAGCTTTGTCGCTTAGAAAAAAAGACTCCCCAGAGTTGTCTAAACAGACTTCGGATGGTATTCCGCACTCTAATTCTTCTGGGCCTGTGAACCTCACACCGATCTGCTAAACTCTGTACCCTGGTAATTCTGAGCCTCCCTCTTCTAGTGCCTCCAACCACTCCACACGTGCACCAGCCCTGCTGGCATCAAATTCATCATTCATTCATTCATTCATTCAACAAGCATTCACCTAGTGCCTCCGGGTTTGCCAGGCACTGGGCTAGGCCCACAAAGATAATCCCTGCCTTTGCAGAGTTCCCATACAGGATTTTAAAATTGTTCCAGGCACTAGGATTCTGATAAACAATCAAGTAAACAAAAGCGAGATCAGCATATAAAGGATTTATTTTCAGTTCTCCAGGAGAATTTTAATATCTTCTTTGCCTAACTGCTTAGAGGAAATTGAAGGGGAAGGAAGCCAATGTCTATCAAACACCTATTATGTGCAAGGCATTTCTCGTCTGTTATTTATTTTTTCAACTCTGTGAGGTAGGTGGAATTTGTCCCTGTTGTTACGGGTGAGAAAATTGAGACCCAGATAATTGGAGGAAACTTATCTGGGGTCCTACAGCTACTAAGTGGTAGAAGGGAGATTTGATCGCGACTCCACCTCCAAAATCCCGTGTCGGTACGCCAGTGCTGAGTTGTCATGTGGATAAAGCATATGTTTTTTAGTTTTTAAATTAAATTTTTAAATTAATTTTTTATTTTTTTCATTCATTAATTTTTTTTTTAAAGTGGAGCCCAAGGCAGGGCTTGAACTCATGACCCTGAGATCAAGACCTGAGCTGAGATCAAGAGTCGGACCCTTAATTGACTGAGCCACCCAGGTGCCCCTAAAGCCTATATTTTTACGAAGGGGGAGGTCAGGATTGTGAGGGTGCAATTTCGCCCCTTGTGTCTGGTTGGTGGAGGTGATAAAGTTTCTAGCAGTTTTCTCCAGAATCAGAGAGCCTCTCCACCTGTCTTCTGTTTTGAAGGGCTAGGCGTTAGTATCACCTCCCCACCTACCCTGTTCTAAACTGCTGAAGGGCAGATTCTGCCTCTAGGAGCCTAGCAGGAGTCACAAGCAGGTGGGGCTCTCTGGCAAGAAGAAACCAGCGAGTCCTCAGCGGGGCTGAGAGACGGAAGGAATGCTAGAATTGCAACAGAGCCTCTTCCCTTTGGCTCTGGCCATTTGCACAGGTGGTGACACCTGGCATCTGGCAACACTTGTTCCATTGCTTCCGGGGAAATGACCCACGTGGGGGTTCCAGGGACGTGAATGATGTTATAGCAGAAGGATTGGAAGAAAGCCCCTTCTTAGAGTCTGGTGGTAGCTTGGTGGCACTGGACGTTAGAGAGGTGGGATCTCGAAGGGGCCGAGTCAGTGCCAGCCCCAAGAAGGAATTTACAGCACCGAGATGGCAGAGGGACTTCCTCAAGGACCCTTGGGCAGCTGAGAGCCCAGTGCCTACCAGAAAGAGAATAGGAGAGAATGTTTGCTTTTCGGGTTGCGAAAAATATCAGAGTCCCCCCTTTCCTGGTTTCACTTTCCATGGTTTTAGTCCCCTGCGGTCAACCTGGAAACAGATGGTCCTCCTCCTGACCTACAGGAGGGTCATCTTACACGATGTCACAATGCCACATCATTCCCCTCGCTTCGTCTCATCACACAGGCGTGTTAGCCTGGCACATCATTGTAAGAAGGGTGAGCAGAGTACAATAAGACAGAGAGAGAGGCGACATTCATGTGTTTTCATTACAATGTATTGTTACAGCGGTTCTAGTTTATTGCTAGTTATTGCTAATCTCTTACGTTGCCTCACTGACAACTGAACTTTACCATGGTTAGAGGTAGGTATAGAGAAACACGTCATGCAGACAGGGTTCAGTACTATCTGCAGTTTGAGGCACCCTATGGGGGGTCTGGGAATACAGACCCCGTGGATAAGGATGGACTTAGCAGTCTGGTGCAGTCACATTCCAGAATCGGGCATGTAGCGGCCACGCCGTTTGGGCTTTTGGAAATAGTACCGCCCAATAGAAACATACGGCAAGCCACGTGTACAACTAAATTTTCCTACTAACTACATTAAAAATAGGTGAAATGTTGATTTTTTTAAATAGAAAGAGCAGGTGAAACTGGTTTTACTAGGATATTTTATTTAATTCGGTATATCCAAAATAGTCTTTCAACATATAATCAATATAACAAAATCACTAATAAGCTATTTTCCATTCTTTTTTCATACTGAGTCTTCGAAAATCGGCGTGTATTTGACACTTAGAGCCTCGCCACATTTCCCAGGAATGGGTTCAATAACCAGGTTGGACAGTGCAGATCTAAAACAATGATGCCATTTAGGGGTTGGGGGGGGAATATCCTTGACTCTCTTAGGGGCCCTGGTTTGGTCTAAAAATTAAACTGATGGAGACAGGTTATCAGGAGAAAATCATCCAAGTTTATTTAGTATAAGTATTACATGATGTGGGAGCCTTCCTAAGGAAATGAAGAAACACTCAGACCTGTGCGGTTTCAGGCCAAGTTTGATGAAAAGTGCATCATCATAGAGGAATATGTAGGTTAGGAGTGTAATGTTAGTGTAGTGAACCGGAGGAAGCTGGGCAAGGCCTACTTGTTATGCTTCTCCTTGGTATCCTTCTGTCTTCAGAGGTAGGGGTGCTCCTTTGCTCCAGCTGTGGGAGGGGTAGCTCTTATAGGAGAGTTTAAGACCTGTTTCAGGGAAGAAGGGTGAGGAGGAGGAGGAAGTCAGAGTGGCTTTCCTACTCTGTTTTCCGAAACTCCCTCAGCTTAAACTAATCTGGGTGCCATAATTTGGAGGAGCGTGTCCTGACCCACATCATATCTAAGTGTTTGGAAATAGGTTCTGGCAGATAAAGATGGACCCTAGGAATCAAAGTCTAGCCTTGAGGACGTGGAGTTTGCTGGCTGGCTGATTGAGTGGTAATACCAGAGAGGCTGGGTGTTTGAGACTGACTAAGGGGTCAGGGTCATGAGGTGGGTGGTCAGCCCACTCTTGTTCCCAGATCACGGTCATTTGCCATGGAGATGTGTTAAAGTCTAAGCTTACCG